TCCTTAGTACTTTTAAAGTAAGTTTTGATAAACTAATTTTGTTTGGTATGCATATTTTTGTGCTTCTAGAAATACTCACAAGTTATTTACAGATATTACATTATTCACGATATTTTTTTCATGTCCTCTAACTCATGCTGGATGCATACTATATAAAAATACGTTTTATCATAAAAACACATCTTACAATATGATTGGAACCTATACTTATCTTGTTATTGAAATCATATTTTTTGCGGTTTTTTTTTCCAAGTCATATCTTTTTTTAGCTGAATTTAATCCAGAGACAATGAATATAGTTATGATATCAATCTGCGATGGTAGATAGCTTTTTTTATGAAACATATATAAAAATAACCGAGTTCATTGTATTATTGTTAATTATTAATCAAATATCAAAAGTCAAAATCGCACGTATGTTGGTGGGTACGTAAATTGATGAATAACATAATATTTGACAGCTATTTATACTTTACTTATGCCTTGCTATTGATTATCCTTACATGGTACCGAGAACTGTAATCGTATCATATTCCGTGAAACGTGGCAACCTGTGAGCAGAACAAAAATTTAATATGATTATCTGCTAACTTAAAAACTATGAACCCCGTTATCTTGTGTTTGATTAAAGCTTAATGTTATGGAAATCTTTTACTGAATGATTTAAACATTCGAGCAAAAATTGTATTAGCGTCAAACAGTTTGATTTACATATACTTTGGCTGATACCAATTCAAATGATGTTGATTTTGATCAAACTAGGGTATTGGAGAACATTTTTACGAGTACATTGTAAATTTTGGCATTTTATAGTATCCCCATGAACAAACATCTACTGTAAAAAAACGCTAAAAATGATGAATTATAGGTGTTAAATTCATAGTTTCTAATAAAACATAATTTAATGGTTAAGAGCAGTTAAATTCAAATGAGTTCAAATAAATAAACGTCAAACCAATCGAATATAATTTTTTTTTTTTTTTTTTTTAAGTAACCATTTGAACAGTAATTGTTAACACTATTTCGAAAATGTACGTAATACCTTAGTTAAGTAATGAACGCTGTTAGATGATCTTCATAAAATACTCGATTGACGCTTTTGTATGTCACGCGCCAAAATACGTGATGATATTATTTGAGATTATACTATTTCTAGTAAACGCGTCACTTACATAAGTATGTCACGATTGAGAACATGCTCTCATTGTTCTTGGTGAATATATATATATATATATATTCACATGGATTCAAAAATATAGATCTGAATTATTGGTTATCACAAAAAACTATGTCTGAGGTAAAAAAAAATCATGTATCAATTATTGACAACAAATAAACATATATTTTTCGTGGAGAAAATAAAAATAAAAGTACTTGTTAGAATTTGATTTTACCCATTTTTTTCTAATTTCTTGTTAAAAAATTCATTTAAGAGTGTAAAATTTATATGAATGCTAACTATTAAGATTTGTACAATTCAAATTTGTTAAACGATTTCCTTAAATTAATTTAAATGTATTAGTATTAATCGCATGTATTTTTTATATTGTGCGGGCCCCCAGGGTGGCGAAACTTTGTTAAGGTCAGTCTGGACATATACATTCTTCTTCTTCTTACTTTTTTTTTTTTTTTTTTTTTTTTCCTCGGGAGGTACATCACGTCGTCCTCTGGTGTACATGTGCACCCCCCCCCCCCCCCCCCCCC